GGTAGAGGTAGAGGTAGAGGTAGAGGTAGAGGTAGAGGTAGAGGTAGAGGTAGAAAAAACCACACACGGTGCAGGCAAATTTAGAGCTGAGTTTGTAACTGTAAATGAGCTAAGCAAAAGCTAAAAGTGAAACGAATTATAAAATAATTGCTCGAGCGACAGACAAATGCCCTTAAAAAAAATATAATGTGAGACAAAGGAAATTAAAAATTAATGTGCTATAGACATTAGAAATAACAGTGAACGGAGCAGCTGGGCGAAGTATTATATATAATATATAATATTTTGTAGTTCAAGTGAAGAACAGGCGTAACACACAAACTAAGGGAAGTATGAATATGTTTGTTGTACTGAAAAGGATATAAGAATTGACTTTTTTAATTTAATAATAACTTAAGATAAACTATTTTAATTTTTGATATATATTAGTTATCAAAAAACCATATTTGAGTTGCTCTCTACAATATATAAAGCGTAAAATAAAATACATAATTTTTTTAGAATAATTTAATATAATTAATATATTAATTTAATATTGTAATAATTAATTTAATTTATATACAATTAATACTTTATGTTTTCCATGCCAATTTGATTCGATTTTGATTTGTAGTATTTAACACATAATTTTTGTAAACTTCCAACATTTTCCCCATTGAGTAATCGCATAATTCTATAATCTCTGACATAAGTGCTAAAATGCTATTTATTTTACTTCCTTTGTTTTGTGTTGTTAGAGCACGACTGAGAACAGGGAAAGTGCATTTAAGCCTATTAATAAAAAGCAAGAAAATGTCAACGGAATGTTGGCAAGCGCATTAAAAAGAGACAGGAAAAGAAAGAGAGATAGAGAGAGAGGGAGAGAGAGAGAGAGAGAGAGAGAGAGGGAAAGAGTGGGAAGGCAAGAGGAAAGTAGTGAAAGACCAAGGGCTAAAATGAAAATGGAAAATAATTAGCCATGTTGACAATGCAAACAAGTTAGTTAGCGAAACTAGCATAACATATTGCATATACGACTTGACAGATATCCTGTACTTAGCTCATGAATTGCTTAAGGAACTGTTATCAAATATGTGAACTTTAAAGAACTTTATTTATTTAATATAAATACATATATATTTTTCCATTATTTATTTTTTTTAAATACTTAATGATTTAATTAAAGTAAAACCTATTTTGATTAACCGACAATTTACAGGGTATACGAATTTCACTGCATTGCTTGAATTAATTTCATTTTCCTTGAATACTTTGCTGTAATCCTGATGACATTTTTGTATTACTCGCCTGACTGCTTGACCTTGCCAACGAGTTGTAAGAGCTGTGAAAGAACTACTATATATACAAGCTAAAAAATACTAAAAAAATACCAAACAGAGAACAAAAGTCAAATGCGATAAGCCCATTCGTAATTTATATGGCATGCAACTGCGCAACCGTGCGACTAATTAAAGCCAAGTTGTTGTTATTGTTGTTTTCTTTCTTTTTTTTTGTACATTTTATTTTCATTTCATTTATTATTTATTATTTATGATTGCTGTACGAAAATACTTTGCTGGCTGAGCCTGTCGAGCGGCGTTGTGGGCATTGTTAATCATTCTCTGCATTGCATGCAAGTGCGAGGCGCAGAGGAAAATGCTGAAAAGCATAAGAAAAGCCACATTTCTTATCGAGTCTCCCTTTGGCTGTGGCCTGACCTGGCGAGCCCTGAAGGTGCGATAAAATAGAAACATTAAACCCCAAAAAGCCTTAACAACAAATGCAGCACAAATAACGGCAGCAGAGGAAATTGGATAGAAGAGAAAAAGAAAGAAAGAATGAGGGAAAATGGCGACTAGGGCATACGCTTTGTAAATGAATCTGAGAATGGTTCTGCAAAGGGCAATATGCCATAGTAAAGTTCACTCAAAAGTGCTGTAAAGCACACTAAACAGTGTTGTAAAGTGCTGTTAGATATGGATTAAAGTGAAAGTTTATGTTACTATGTAGTGTATGTTATTTATGTAGTGTATGTTACTCTATTCTATGTTAACCTAGTTGAAAATCAACTGTTTTAAATAGGCTATGGAGAAGTATTGCAAAATGTAGTTGAGAACAGTGTTATACAGTGAAGGCTCGTTTATTACAATTAGAGTATTATTCTCAATTTTGTTTCTACTATTTGCTTTTGCTCAGGTTTTTTATTCTCTAGTGTTGTGTAATGCTGTGAAATAGAGCTTTTAAGAAATTCTTAATGTTGTTTTGATTGTTTGATTGATGGTGCATGAATTCTATTACTATTCTATCTATATTTTATAAGTAAATAGAAGCTCGACATAGAATTGTTTTCATATAAATTAATCATCAATTGACTTCCACTATATTTTTTACCTTAAGCAGAAAGCTTTGTTCTCTGAATGATATACATATGTATATATAGTATAAGAGTAATTTAGTCTGAGTTTCTTGAAAGCCTGTAGTTGGCTTATATGAACTTTATATTAATTTATGCAACAGTAAATAATCAAGAGCTTAGCTCTACAAGTTTCTGAAAGCTCATGAATAAGCTGCTCCATGTTATTCGAAGGTATTCCCTTTCGCTTGTCTGTGGTAAGCTGCTTATTTATATATGAGAGTATAGCAAGTATATTAGAGTATACCAAGACGCATTTAGGTAACACACACACACACAGCTAGACAGCTGGGCTGTTGGGTCAGGTGGGCGGTGTACATTTACAGTTGAACATGCAACGAAATGAGCGCCTGACATGACATGCCAACGGTTTTGACATGAAATGTGCAAAGCTCTCAGGAGAATGCGAGTGTGCAAGTGTGTGCAGGTGTGAGTGTGCAGGTGTGTGTGATGTGTGTAAATTTGCATGATGAAAAAATGAAAACTGTTGTGAGTGAGTGACATAGCCACGAAAACCTCTACCGAGCTGTACTTGAGCTTGTATACGGCTCGCTAATTACTGGGACGGGGCATAGTAATTATTATTATACACGGTATTTTACTAGTATATATACATATGTTTATACATCTACATGTGTGTATGGGAGAGGTAATGTTATTTCGTTAACAGTCGACACTTTTTGAATTTATAATAAGCCTAAAAGCCAAATAATTATGAGAACCGAACAACAGGGCGAAACAGTTATGGACATTTAAATATACCAATATAATAGCTGGGCGTTTCTACGAAATGGTTGACCATTAACTAAATTTATAAGAATATATGGGATGTTTCTATAGTTGGAACTTTAAGGGGTAGATAATCGTATAGAGCTTAAAAATAAATTCAATGAGAGTTAAACGAAGGACTGGATTTGTATCTGGACGAAGGATTGTGTCTGGGAAAATATCTTATAGTATATGTAAACTATTCGATGGTTACTACTATTTAAATATACTACGATAATGATTTTAGTACTATTCCTTATACTATTCTACTACTTTATTATAACTTGTAAGTGCGATTACTGCTGAAGTTATACCCTACTACTATTTTAGTACTTCATTTTCTACTACTGCACTACTTTATAGCTTCAAAAAGTGATTACTACTACTATAACACCATACTACTATTTTTGCTCCATACTACTTTATATCAATAGTATACTACTAATTGAAAATGCTACTACTCCCTTCTACTACTCTACTACTTTATAGTTTTTATACCCTGAACCCATTGAAAATGGGAAATCAGGGTATAATGTTTTTTTTTTATATGTGATTACTACTACTATAATACCATACTACTATTTTAAAGAGCACTCTATTTACTACTCCATACTTCTTTATATCAAATAGTATACTGCTAATTGAAAATGCTACTACTTCCTTCTACTACTCTACTACTTTATAGTTTTCAAGTGTGATTACTAGTACTATAATACCACACTACTATTTTAAAGAGCATTCTATTTACTACTCCGTACTACTTTATATAAAATAGTATCATATAGTATTTGAAAATACTAAGGAATGCTACTACTTCCTTCTACTACTCTACTACTTTTTAGCTTATACTACTATTTTAGGGAGTACTCTACTTACTACTCGTATTACAACTATTCCATACTACCTTATCTCACGGAACACTACTACTACTATTAATACTATACTACTAAAACTACTAAACATATTTTATCTACCTTTCTATATGTTTTCAACCATCATTTAACTTCAAGTATATGTAGATTCGCAAACTCTTAAGTCCACACCGAATTGTTTGCCATTTATATAACCATATATACGCATGTATATACGCATATCCGTAACAGTTTTGGTCTATTTAATTTCATGAAGCTCCCGCTCTATTTGCCCAATCTCAGCTGTTGACATTTTCGCTTTTACTGTCTCAAGATTTGGCAAACAATTTAGTTCGAATCGCTTTCGGTTGGCAAATGTTTACCCTGACGGCTCTCGAGCCCAGATTTACCGATTCGGGTATAAAATGTGTGAGAGTATTTGGCGTATGGATCAGTGATTCGCTTCGATTGGCTCAAGATGCAGGCACTCCAGCGACTAATTGTCTTCAGCTGTGTGCTGCTCCATCTGTTTGGGGGCATTCGTGCCGGACTTTTTCTCAGCCGCAACGGCTACATCTACTGTAAATGGTCGAGTCGTGGATTATGCGACAAATTCGGGTCCAGATGCGTGCAATACATGGATGGCACGATGAACTATTGCAAGCATTACAAGAACGAATGCCAATTCCTGATTGACCAGTGTCTGTCTAGAACAGGTAAATCGAAGACTATATATACACTATATACTATACTATATGTATGGGATAACCCTTTGCTTTCTTCTTAGAGTTTGGCCGTCAGGGTGCACCTGTGGCTTTTTCTCCAGGCTGCAAAAATATTGGTCTCAATCAAATGGGCGTGTGCGGAACATAATTTGATACTAGCAAAAACAGAAAAAAAAAAAAAAAAATATATATATATATATATATTCATTAATTCTACATTAACTAATTATTCCGACAACTGTAACTATTTATTTGAAAGCTTAATAAACTATTATAAATAATAAATAATTAAAAGCTAATTTTTATTTTATTTTTTAAATACTTTGCATCAGTAGCAAATAAAATGCAAAATATTTAATTTTTAATTAAATGCGCTTTGATTGTATTTAATGTTAAATATATATAAGATTTTTTTTTTAGAATAAAAAATATGTTTAATAATAGTATCAAATTGTTTTATACTAAACAAGCTAAGCTTTGTTAAAAGTAAAAAAATATAAATATATATATATAAATATATATTATTATAATTTTTTCATTACTTAACATAAACATAAATTTATATTATTATAAGATTCCTCTTTAATCAACATAATTACTAAAATTTAAATATATATTTTTTAGCTCTGCAAAAATCAGCTTTGAAATATGAAATATAACAAATTTTGTTTTTATTTGAAACTGGTGAAAATTGATTGCAGTCAAAATGTACTTTTAATATTTTGGTTTTTTTCAGTCCTACAAATGCCGTACAAGTCTTGCATAACGCGTTCAACTAAGCGTTCGATGGGCGTTTGTCAAACCGGAAACAGCAGTTCGTCCATTTTGATGATTGCATTTCCGTTGTGCCAGCGAAATGCTGAACAATTATTCATTTTATCATTTGGCAAATGCGTATGGAAGTAGAAAATATGGCAATGCGCTTTATTTTAAGCTTGTTCAACGATTTCGCTGAATTTTTTAATAACATTTAACAATTAATAACAAATCAAAGTAAATAAATCAGCTTAGAAAATTTTAAAATAACTTTCTATATTTTATGTTAATGCAAGCTTAGATTATTATCATTTCCTTTTATATTTTTTATTATTTAGCATTATTAAAATTTAAAGAACTTAAAAGTAAATTTCTATATTTATTTAAGATTTTTAATTAAGTCATAATAAATAAGCTCATTATTATTAATAATTACAATCGAAATCGCTGTAACCTTAATGCAAACTGTTAAATAACATGGAAATGTTATAATGAACATTTACGATGTTATGACTGGCAGCCATGTTAACTTAACATTATTGATAACGAAATGTATGTTAAGCAAGCGCAAGCTTTTACTGAGGGTATCAAGAATGTTATTTTTGTTGTATTTGATGGCATAAATTATTCAAGATGTGAGTCAATCAACTTTACCGTTTCTCGCACACATGCAAATGCGAAGCGCATATGAAATTTTCCCTTGCACACATTTCATGCATAAATTATTGGAGTATTCCAGTTGTTATTGTTGTTGTTGTTGGTGTTGGTGTTGGTGTTGGCACAGGGCAAACTTTGATTGATTCGGTTGCCGGAGCACAGTTTTCTGTTCACTCTTTGATAAACTGTCAAAAGAGGGCACAAGGGTTAACGATTGTGAGAGTGTTATAGAAGTATATATATGTATGTAGAGGGCATATGTAACTCACTTGCTGTAGCCAGCGAATTATTGTCGTTGGCTGCTGCCCTGCAATCGGCCAACCTTTGCTTGCAGCCGTAACTCCTCAGTTGACACAGATTGCTACGTGCGACGCGTACACATATTTTGGCATTCGGTCTGCAATTGGCTCGAACTTTGCGCCGGCAACTCTGCAATTGGCTGAGATTGACCTTTGCCTCGGTCGAAGTGCCTAGGTATACGAGAGTGAGCAGAACGACTAGCAATAGAACAGTTTTCATTGTGCCAGGCATCGAAAATGATATCGTTATGTATTGCTTGGCATTTATATTGTGCCTCAGCCAAGTGCTAGGCTAATTAACTGTCATCTGTGTTTGTTTATTGAAATTGGACAATTCTGGAAGGTTAAACCAGATGCTTTTTGAAACTTGAGTCATGCCAGCAAACACTAACACTTGTACAAATATTTAACTAAATTTGTTTATGTATTTGATGTACCATAATCAAAGGCACACTTAACTGTTTAGCCTATATTCATAGGCTATTCTTGAATTGAAGTATCAGTTGCTCGAAGCGTTTAGGGTATTTCGTAGACAAGTTGTTTCATTAATGTACCTTCCATAGAGTTTCGTAGCATTCAGCTTTTGTCAGGCAGCTGCCTTAACTCAAGTTTCAAGTTTTGTTTTTGTCACATTCACTGGATGAGTCGGCCTACAGTTTCAACGCCATTCATAAGGCGATGCCTTTCATTTAGCGAGCAAATTATGCTAGATATTTCCAAAAGTTTTATTAAGGCACATTCCATCGAGTTTCGTAGCATTCAGCTTTTGTCACGCAGTCTCAGATCTTGAAACTCCTGCCATAAATTCGCTACAATACCTAAACTAAGAGCATTTATATTTCTGTGAATCATATGATTATGTTTTCTATTACTTTCTTTTCGTAATCATCATTGATCAATATTTACACAAGCCTCATGGTCTCTGCCATTGATGTACCTCACATCGAGTGCTGTAGCATTCAGCTTTTGTCATGCAGCTGCCTTAACTCAAGTATTTGCCACATTCACTAGAAGAGTTGGGCCACAGTTTCAGATTCTTTCATAAGGCTACATCATTTATTTAGCGAGCAATTATGATGAATATTTCCAAGCCCAGGAATGGGGCTTGGGTTCTTAATTTTTTCTGTGGCTCATATAAGGCAGCGGCAACAAAGTGCATTTGTGGACTAATTTCTTACATATAGTTTTGTTTTTGTAACTAATTCACTAGAAGCATACAGAATACAGCTTCAGAATCACTCATGTGGCTATGCCTCTTGCTTAGCGAGCAATTATGATCAATATTTCCAAAAGTTTCATTAATGCACCTCCATAGAGTTTCGTAGCATTCAGCTTTTGCCAGGCAGCAACCTTCTGCTCTAGTTTTTGCCACATCCACTAGAAGAATTGGCCCACGGTTTCAGTTTTAGCTTATTTATTATGATGATTCAGTTTATTTATTATCATTATGCTGTGGTTTTCGTAATGATCCCATTTCCATAAGTTTTACAGTATTGAAATTTTGGCATTGATGTACCTCACATCGAGTGTTGTAGCATTCAGCTTTTGTCATGCAGCTACCTTCTGCTCTAGTTTTTGTCATATCCACTACAAGTATTGACCCACAGTTTCAGCTTTGGATTATCTATTCTGATTATGATTCAGCTAATTTATTATGATTATGCTGTGTATTTCGTAATGATACTATTTCCTTAGGTTTTACAGTATTGAGATTTTGGCATTGATGTACCCATCCCATCGAGTCTTGTAGCAATCAGCTTTTGTCATGCAGCTGCCTTAACTCAAGTATTTGCCACATTCACTAGAAGAGTTGGGCCACATTTTCAGATTCAGTTCATAAGGCTACATTGATATGAATATATCCCAGCCCAGGAATGGGGCTTCGGCTCGTTGTTTTTGCTGTGGCTCATATAAGGCAGCGGCCACAATGCACCTTCCATCGAGTTTCGTAGCATTCAGCTTTTGTCAGGCAGCTAACTTCTGTTCTAGGTTTTGCCACATCCACTAGAAGTTTTAGCTTGTTCATTATGATTATAATTCAGCTTATTTATTATCATTATGCTGTGTATTTCGTAATGATCCTATTTCCACAAGTTTTACAGTATTGAGATTTTGGCATTGATGTACTAATCCCATTGAGTCTTGTAGCATTCAGCTTTTGTCATGCAGCTGCCTTAACTCAAGTTTCAAGTTTTGTTTTTGTAAGATTCACTGGAAGAGTTGGCCTACAGTTTCAGCGCCATTCATAAGGCGATGTCTTTCATTTGGGGAGCAAATTATGCATATTCCCAAAAGTTTTATTAAGGCACATTCCATCGAGTTTCGTAGCATTCAGCTTTTGTCATGCAGCTGTCGTAACTCAAGTATTTGCCACATTCACTAGAAGAGTTGGGCCACAGTTTCAGATTCAGTTTCGTTCATAAGGCTATATTATTTATTTAGTGAGCAATTATGATGAATATTTCCAAGCCCAGGAATGGGGCTTGAGTTCTTTATTTCTTCTGTGGCTCATATAAGGCAGCGGCCACAAAGTGCCTTTGTGGACTAATTTCTTACATATAGTTTTGTTTTTGTAACTAATTCACTAGAAGCATACAGAATACAGCTTCAGAATCACTCATGTGGCTATGCCTTTTACTTAGCGAGCAGTTATGATCAATATTTCCAAAAGTTTTATTAATGTACCTTCCATCGAGTTTCGTAGCATTCAGCTTTTGTCAGGCAGCTAACTTCTGCTCTAGTTTTTGTCATATCCACTTGAAGAATTGGCCCACTGTTTCAGTTTTAGCTTGTTTATATGATTATGATTCAGCTAATTATGCTGTGTATTTCGTAATTATCGTATTTTCACAAGTTTTACAGTACTGAGATTTTGACATTGATGTACCCATCCCATCGAGTCTTGTAGCAATCAGCTTTTGTCATGCTGCTGCCTTAACTCAAGTTTCAAGTTTTGTTTTTGTAAAATTCACTGGAAGAGTTGAGCACAGTTGACTATGACTATAAAGTCATTCTTAAGGTTATGCCTTTTACTTAGCGAGCAATTATGATCAATATTTCCAAAAGTTTCATTAATGTACCTTCCATCGAGTTTCGTAGCATTCAGCTTTTGTCATGCAGCTTCCTTCTGCTCTAGTTTTTGCCACATCCACTAGAAGAATTGGCCCACTGTTTAGGTTTTAGCTTATTTATTATGATGATTCAGTTTATTTATTATCATTATGCTGTGCATTTCGTAATGATCCCATTTTCATAAGTTTTACAGTATTGAAATTTTGGCATTGATGTACCCATCCCATCGAGTCTTGTAGCAATCAGCTTTTGTCATGCAGCCGCCTTAACTCAAGCTTCAAGTCTTAGGCATAAATGGGGCCTGGGCTCATATAAGGCAGCGGCCACATAGTGCCTTTGTGGACATATAGTTTCAAGTTTTATTTTTGTAACCAATTCTCTAGAAGCATACAGAATACAGCTTCAGAAGCACTCATCTGGCTATGCCCTTTACTTAGCGAGCAATTATGATCAATATTCGCAAAAGTTTCATTAATGCACCATTCATCGAGTTTCGTAGCATTCAGCTTTTGTCATGCAGCTGTCTTCACTCTAGTTTTTCCCAAATATCATACTTTTCCCTAATTCCCCTGAGCCCAGTTCTCTTCAGTTCAAAGAATGATATAATCTATATATGTATGTTTATTTGCAAGTCCATAACAAAATGTAATCGAAAATCAATTTAACCACGTCTGCCTATGACGATGGCCTGCGCATTGGAGCTGCTGGAACACTGTCGGCGTGTGCCCACCGGAATGTTCGCGCACAAGGATATGGGGACCGATGTGTAGGTCACGGAAGTGACGCAGGTGTCGTAGCGCACCTGGCAGCTGTTCGAGAATCGTTTGCAGAGATTCGAGCGTCCATAGCGGGCGCAGACCTCGTTAGTGGCAAACAAATTGCAATTTTCGAGCACACAGATCCTTGGCGAATTGCCGTTGCCGTTGCCCAGATTATTATTGCCGTTCCAGAATCGTCCGTGGATCAAAGTAGCGCCGGACAGGATTGCCAACAGCGAACAGCACAGAACTAATGTGGCTTTCATGTTCTTGATTCGAATTTGGTTTGCAAACGCTTCTTGCCAGTATTTATAGCGAATTCTAAGGTTCTTGAATATTAATTGGGTTATGGCTCAAGGTCAAACGACATTCAAAAATTTTTGTTAATAAATAATTTGTATAGTTTTTTGCAAAACAGTTGCGCAAATAAATAATTTTTGCCGATTTGCAAATTATTTATTTTTTTTGTTGAGTTTGTATAAAATAACAAATAACAACAAGCCTAAAAGAATACAGTGAAAGGCATGAATAGATAAAAAAATTTAATTTATTTACGGCTTAGGCATTTAATGACGGCGCTTAAAAGTAGGCAACGTTTTTTTTGCTGTTCGATATTCAGTTTTTCTTATATATGGTGAAAACACAGTTAAGATATCATTAAAAAAATACTAAAAATACTGCTAAAAATATTGCTATATATATTATGTTTTATATAAGAATATATCGCTCATAGTTCTACACTTTAAAGATATTCCCCATATTTGGCTAAGAATCAGATAAGAATTCGCATTTATTTCCAAATCAACTCAATCTAAAAAAATCGGAACATTACAAAAGCAAATAGAATCGAGCTTAATTCACTTACTGAGAGCATTACATAATCTTATATGTGCTTATAAATATTATTGCATTACAATGCATAACGATCTTAAGATGGGCTAAACAACTTTTACAAATTCCAATTCGGTTGCAGATCACAAAATCAGATAAGAAGGTTATTTGCTAATGGCCTTTCAATAACCAACAGCCACTTAAAGTCCGATCCACACTTGACTATCTAGTGCACTTGCTTGAGTATTTACATCAACACACAGCTCAAGCAACAACAGACACACACTCTCACACACATACACACACACGCACCGTTGAATTTATTTGACTGACAACGTCATTTGGGCTACTCGACCCTGTCAGTGTGCTTGGGCCACACATCAAATTAAATTTCATAGCGATGCGTTCAAATGAACATAAAACAAAGAAAAGAGAGGAGAGAAATAAATAAAACAGTAAGGCGAAAAAAATAATAAATAAACGCGCAAAGCAAACAGCGCATAAACATTTGAAGCGCGAACGCGTAAAGTTTTTTTTTATTGTTGATTGCACTTCTTGTGCGAATACTCTACCTGCTTGAGGGTATGAGGATGTTGTAAGAAAGTAAGGAATGTGTGGGAGCTCAGTGAAAAAATATAAGAATGCTAACGATAGAAAGGAGAGAAAAGAGAATAAAAAACCTTCAGCTCAGTAGCTAAAAAATTGTCGTAATAAAAAATATATCATACATAATATAAATACAAAATATATTTGTTAAAAAAGTGTATATATATTTTCAATAATAATTGATTAATACAAAATATTATAGTGTTCAATTATGTATGTATATATAAATATTTTGTTCTTTTAAGTTTTACAATGGACATTTTTTTACATTTTTTTAATTAATTTTTTATTTTTATTATTCATATTTATTTAATTATTTTTTCTATTTATTTTTTTTTAAATTAATATTATTATTTTTTGACAAATGTTAAAACTTCCAAAAAAAAGTAATAATAATAATAATAAATAATAAACAATAAAAAATAAAATAAATAAATAATAATGAATAATAAATAATAAAAAAAATAATAATACATTATACTATTTACAAAATACAACAACATAATAAAGATATTAATGTAAATTAATTTGTTATTTAAAAATTCTTTAAATATTATAAATAAATATAAATAATATAAATAAATATTTTTTTGTAATATTTCATATTGGTTTTAAATTGAGACATTTCACATTTTTGTTTGTCTACAAAAATTCCAAAATGTATAATAAATATGAAATTTATAAATATATTATATATAACACATTTAAAACTGCTTCCTCTGCCACTTGAGTTAATAATAGCGAAAGTGTATTCAAGCTTCGCCTTCAATCAAACTGTTTTTATTCTTGCATTGTTTGTTGTTTTTATGTTTTGTTTAAACATTCCACAAACGCACTACAATAAAATGCCGTTGCGTATTGGTCAAGGCTGCAAAATCTGCTGAGTTAATTGGCCTTAAATAGTTTGGCTCCAATCGATGTTGATATATTGATAAAGTGATGCATTGCCCCAGCACTGGCCAAATCAGAACAGAATCTCAATAAAATGTGCGTGCGTTTTAATTACTTTTTTTTTCGATTGCATAAATTTGCATTGATCTAAAAACTGGGTCACTAATGGGCACCTAGGTGCGTATGTGGGCGTGGCAGTGTGCACCTCAGGCAAAAACGTCATCAATAACAGTTAGCTATTAAAAGACTCGTTTTTGTTTTGAAAAATTGCAACGAGAGAATTTTGGCTTCAGGCAGGGAGTAGCTGACCTTATGAAGTATATACAATTTAGTTATATATTCATATTCATTCATAAATACATTTTGAATAGAGTGGCTATGAGAACAGCTCATAGTAGCGCAGGGTATCCCACTAGTCGAGAATTTCTAATTCTTTATTTTAGTTTTCTACGTCAACGAAATCTCGCCCAAGCACTCTACGAATTTTGAGCACTTGTAGAACCCATTTAATCGACAATCAAAACTAATTGCCAGCCATTAAATATTAAACAGGAGCAATTTAATTGTCATAAGCGACAAAGTTGAATAAATATGCAAAGACCCATGAATTTTGTAGCGCGCACATGCATCATGCAACGAGCTTATATCAATTTTGTTGCCATGCAATGGATGGGGGGAATTCCACTTAATATAAAACTGTTCGAGAAACTCAAAGAAAATTGAATTCAATTCGATTGCGGACAAAAGTATCTATCAGATACAAATATATCTTCATATTGGGGCACTCGATTAATTATTAGAGAGAAACTTTAATATGGCTTACAAGGGTTTTGAGTGCACCAAGAGTTGGCAGAGGCGAGTTCACTAGGCTGGCAGATACTCCTTATATACATATATATATTAATATATATTTAAATATATATATATTTATTTACATAACTAAATGCACAAGTGTTTCTATATCTATGCTAATTGATTCTTTGACCACTGAATAATCAGAATATATTATATATTTGACTCGCATTCATGTGATTGTATACACCCCATTCATTATTAGTTACAGCGCATCATCGGTGTTATCTTCATTAAAGACATTGTCGTAACTTTTAACATTAATTAGCGTCTCGTCGCTGCTCAAGATTAATTTGTGTTTACCGCTAATTAAAAAACAATCATTAATTATAAAAAAAACAAAACATTTTTGGCTTTATGAACAACAATACAATAAAGCTTAAACGATTACCTAATCTACAATATAAATGGATGCCTAATCAATATTGAAATTGGTATTATAAAACTATTTAGCTTAGGGAAATCTCGTTGATGTCCAATGTAAATTAGTTCATAAAGTGTTCAAAAGGCCACAACAGACACCGCCGCAAAGGTGAGAGATGTGTAGAAATTGGCGATAAAAACAAACAAGACGAAAACAAAACCGAACCAATGCGAATGGGAAAGCACAACGAAATGCGAGTATAAATCAAAATAGGGAAACATCAAATAAAAACGAATGTGGTTAAACTTGAAAAGTGGCGCGTGGATGACGAAGATGAAGAAGAAGAAGAGGAAGAAGATGAAGAAGAAGCAGCAGCAGCAGGCAACAGACAGGCAGTCAGCTAGTTAGCCAGGTAACCAGGCAGGCATCTGCCTCATTTGCCGGCCTTAACTGCAAACCATTTAACGGGTTTCTCGCTAGCAGGAAGCTCCAACAAAGTTGATCTTATCAACTGGTTTATTGCATCTTACTTTGGTCAACGCAATGCAATTGATTGGCCGCGCTCCATTTTGCTAGGTGTGTGTGTGTGTGTGTGTGCAATAAAATTGTTTAATTTACTCGCCAGATGAGGCTTATTCATTTGCCAATTGCGATTCGCGTGATGCTGCCAATGCGGCAGCTCCCCCTAAATGAGAAGAGCGCCATGCATTGGGGATATCCGACGGCATAATACGCTGTTTTGGTTGGTGTGAGAGTAGGTGGGAGTTATTTTTTATAGAGCATCTAAAACTGATAAGGAGAGATGCAGTTTCAGAGCTGAAGGAGGGTAGAGCTGACATTCTTAAGCTCTGTTTAGAGTATAGGTATGTCTATGATAAGCTAAGAGTTGTCTTAAGGGAATTTCAGAAGGTTCTTTGCCTGAAGCAAGAGTCAAGGCGAATCTCCTCAGCGGTTCTCTAGTTTTACACGACCGAACTTTATGAAAAGATTTGATTTATAATAACAACTAAAATCTGTTCAATATGTTATTAAATAAATTTTCCTAAAGCCATTTCCTGAGCTGCTAAAAATCAGGAATCAATCAAATCGGAATCAATCAAGAAAAGTCAACTTAGTAAAATTTCTATAATTATTTCAAACAACTCCTGTAAGACTTACCCCCACACAATATCTAAATATTTTAAACAGTTTCAAGTAACATCAATTTATATACCCATCTTGTATTACAAACAGTGTATAACAACAACAACAACAACAAGAGACTTTCACTTTCGACCGCTTGCATTTTGTTCGAATCAGTTTCATTGTTTTTTCTATTTTCTTAGTTTTAGTTTCAGTTTCAGTTTCAGTTGTTGTTGTTGTTGTTGTTTTTTGGGCAGGTCAGTTGCTGCTGTAGACATGGCTTAAAGCACAAATCGCCGCCTCTGAAAAGAGTTTGCAATGCTTGAGCGCATTTGCGATTTGGTGGGCCGCTTTAGTTATCGGACTCATATAATTATTGTGTTTTATACATACCCCGTGTTTAAGAAATTAACCAAAAAAATGGGCATTATCAAAATGATTGCACTAAGAGTTTATGTAAGCCGAGCAGAGTGAGAGCTGAAATAGTAGCCAAGTTGGCTTTAAAGTTAAGATCAGCGGAAAGGTACAAGATTTTATTGAAGGGTTATATTTGGGAAATTGCAGTGAATTTTTTAAATATCTAATTTATTTCCCAAATTTATTATAAATTTTCAAG